TGATCAAAGATACATCAATTTGCGATAATCGATTAATTGATCGATTAATCAAATATCAATTGATTTGAAACACTATTAAAATATATTGCATTTGAATGAAATCCGAGTAAAATAATTTGTTATAACTTTGCTAAAAATTTTAACCAATGATATTTTGCTTATCTAACTGGATTAGATAATGTATTAGGGTGATTCAGATTAATGTTCACGATTTCGAACTAAATTAGTGACTTATTTGTTTTGAATATAAATGATTTATAAATTCTATTTTATAATGATATCATTTGAAAAATTCTGTACACCTATCTGTTTTCTGATTTCGGAATTTCAAAACAGAAATGGAATTTTTTTAAACTCCCACTTATTTTCTAAATAAGTTAATTCTGAGTCACCCTTTAGTAAAATTTACTTAAAATATTTTTATTTTAATAATAAATAAAATATCTTGACAAGTATCTTAAAGGTACAATAGTGGGACAGAAAAATTCGCGATCAGGTGATCGCCGACATTTCGGAACCCCTTTGGAAGTTATACATTAATTAACAACTATATGATACAAATAAAGTGAAATTAATTTTCAAATTTAAGGTTAATAAATCAGTATAGCATTATTGGAAATACAAAAAACGTCAGCTAATGTAATAATACAAAGTCTACCTTTTAATTTATACAATAAAGCTAAACTTGTCTCAAATTTATCAATCTAGCGTTAATAGTTCTAAAGAATTTAACGTTACCGTGACGGTACAAAATTAAGGCACTGATTATCTTTCGATTAACATAAGTCTGGACAGCCTGCAATCACCTGATCGCGAAGGCGACTAGAGAAAAATGCGCAGTAGTATTTGGGCAGTAGTAATGCTGTTAATATAAAAGAAAGTTTGGGCTCCGAGACTAAGTAGCGCAAAGACTACTTGATCAATATTCAATTGCCTAGTATCGTAGAATTATCAGTTAAGTATCGATGCTTTTTTATCGCTAATTAACGAAGGACTAACTTCGTTTCTTTAACAGCTACAGCTCGATGAAAGATAGAAAGCGAATGAGGTTTAGATTACAACTCAAGTAAATGAATACTATAGTTAAAATTAGATTCCAGCGAAGAATCTTATATGCTAGTTTGCTATGTACCAGCGAGATCTATTCATAATGTATTTCCTACGCAATAAATTGACAAAGTTCATTGATCAAGTAATAACAATTGCAATTTTAATAATTGAGTTATAACTATAAACTATCTAAAGCTTATGCCATAACTAGTTACGGCATAAACCAACCTTTAGTTACACTCATTATCAATGATGAAGAAAGAAATTGATAATTGTAATTTAAAAAGTAAGATAACGATAATGACGGACAAAATTTTTGGTTTTTCTTCAAATAAAAATACTTATTGTGAAACATTTATTTGATTTTTACTTGATTTCCAAATCATGAAAATATATATAGAACATTAACCCTATATATATATATATATATATATATATCAAAAATCGATATGTAACGTGTACATTGTTGAAAAAAAAATAACAGATATAATAATAACTGTAAATGTGGTAGAAAATTAAAAAATATGTACAGAAAAATCTTTAATGAAAGTATATAAAAAAAAATTCTCTACCGTATTTAAAAAAAAAACATTTACTACAAAACAAAGATCATTACAAGAAACTATTTAATAATTCTAAAAATGAATTGTATGCAGCTATGAACAATGAATGTGAGTATTTTTTTTTTCGTATTTATATAAAAGAGTGTATGTATGTTATATATGAAAGAAAGTGTTGTATATATTTTGAAGTTTCTTTAAACGTAAGGAGGAGGAATATGTACTTAGGAGGATAAGTGGTGAGTATATAGTATATGCTTGTATGAATTGTATAAAATGAATGAGTGTCTATAATAATTTACAAAAGAAAATGCATCGGTGTATATATAAAGAATGAGGAATGAATTATTGGCAAAGGGAAATTCTATTTATTCTTCTTCATTTTCTAAAGATTTTACGATCCACATTCTATGAATCTCATCAAAAGCCTTTCGATCATTTAATTGTTTTAAACAGATCTCAACTGTTTCATCCCAGTTTTCTTCGTCAAAACCACTATCTGCTACAACTTTTCTAAGATTCCTAGAACCCCAACCGTATAGTTCTCTATATAATTTTCCGAGTTTGCCACCCCATTCTCCAATTGCTATTTTTCGTTTTTCATGATTTAGTTCAGAATTGGAGAGTTTAGCAAGAGTCTTTGTGATAAGGGGGGATACAATGAGTTCCATATCTTTTTCACTTCGTAGAAAATCACTAACTATAGTTAATAAAAAAAAATATTGTTAATAATTATAAAATTTAAAAAACAAAAACTACACCGAATTTTAGTATAATAGTTTATACATACTGGAAGTTAAATTGAATGGACCTTCGTTATACCATCTAAAATCAGTTTCCATGATTTCAACATATCCACCTTTCTTTGTAACTCTCAAAGCTTCTTTTAATGCACGTTCCCAATCATTAACGGTAAAGGCGAAAGTCATAAACCTCATGTAAACAAAATCAAAAGTTTCATCTTCAAATGGTAGGCCACTAAGAACATTTGCTTGACGGAATTTTACATTGGTTGGATGAATTTCGGAAGGGTAGAGTGGAACAATATCTACGCCTACAAATTGAGGGCGCTGATTTTCTGTAGCCATTTCTAATATCCAAGCACCGGAACCACAACTATGTAAAAAAAAAAACAAACATTATATTATTATTATTATTATTATTATTATTATTATTATTATTATTATTATATTATCATAATTAATATTATTACTATACTATTATTATTATCATCACTACACTATTACTATTATTATTACACTATTATCATTGATCAAAGTCATATGATATTTACATACCCAATATCAAGGATCTTAGTTTCGTAACTGGTTAACAATTCCTTAACAGGAGCCGAAAAATTACCTTCCCAAATATGTTTCATTAAAAAATGTTGCATTTGGCACCGATCAACTTCATCATCATCGACTGGATACACATAGTTCACATCCTCAATTCCACTCTTACAATATTTTCTATCTCCAATATATTGAAGAGTATCCAAATCATCAGAATTTGATAAATTTTCATGTAATGATGAAGGATATTGTGACATAATTTCAAGATGAGTATTTAAAGAATTTGGAGAATTTAAAGATAGATGGGTTGAAGAACTTGAAGAAAAGTAAGTAAGTGCTGAACTAGAAGAAGATTTTTGACGGTGCGTTTTAAGAATTCTAGGAATTGATGTTACCGATGATATTGAAGAGAGGGAAGGAGAAGAATGAATAGACTTTGAATTTGATTTACCCATTTTCGCATGTGTTTTTTTATATATTTTTTTTAATAGTAAAAGTGTATTTATGATATTAAGTTTGTTTGTAAGAGTGTATGAATAAAATGCTGATAAAAATTCTAATAACTGTATTTATTGCTTTATGAGTCTATGATCTATGTAATTATGTAATATAAAAAAAAAATTATTCGATCAACGAAAGTAATAAAAAATGTATCCAGAGGTTTCCTCCTAAATGAAAATAAAAAATAAAATTGTTTTAAAAACAATCTTATTTTGTTTATTATTGAGTCTAATTTGAGGAAGTTGAAGAGGAAGGATAATTTTCAGGAAAGCGAATCTAAGCTTTTATAAGAATGTTTTCAATGCAACACAAAACATATACATAATAAGAACAAGTACGTACATAATATTTTTAACAACGAAACTTTTTTTTTATTTGGATTATTATTATTATATACAGCTGTAAAATATGTTATACAAGTATTAAAATTGAATAGATAAAAGACAAAGAAAAGATTGAACAGGTATACATTTTAATCGAGAAAAGCTTTTATGTAACCCGTACTTTTAAATAATGGGTGAGCAGTCTAATAATGAAAAACCTTAATTATGGTAGTAGAAACGTGGTAGAATGTTGTGATTTGTGGTGACTTAATGGAACAAAGCGCAATTCCCCTTAAGTTAAATGAATATTAGTATTCTATTTAAAGATAATAAAGAAAATAAATTTTTTTTTTCATATAGATACAGAAATATAATATATCCAATAATTTAAATGTCGATCGAGTGTAATACATCCTATATCATGAATTTTTTTCTCCTGTTATCTAAATTTGGAATATAACAGTGCATATATCAAAAATCCGAATATGGGGAAGGCTGAAAGTTGGTACGTACGTATGATCATATATTTCTGTATATACTTTAAATATTAATTTCAAATTTTCACTAAATTTGTTATCAACTCCTTAAAGGTAGGCTTAGATATTTAATTTCTTATGTTTTTTCTTGCGGTTATTTTACCTCTTCGGGTTGATCCATATATCTCACTACATATAGAAATTTTAGAAATTTTGTGTTACACATTTATAAAATTTTTTAACGTTAAGATAATAAGATAAGATAAAACCCCTGTAATATCATCAAATGCCTACAAATCTATGTAATTAAATGGCGTGTGTGTCTATCTTAAATCTTTTGATTGGCTATTAATTAGATACCCGATTTCATGTGTAACATATAGATCTGCACGTAGAAAAACGTGTGCAGAAATATTAGTTATTAATCAACGATAACGATGAAGATATATGTATAATATAGCTTTAATTTAAATGATATCAACTTTTTACTATTAAATCAGCTACAAAAAAAAAATAAAAAAGTGATCTTGCCATTTAAAGTAAGATTGGATGTTAAAAAATTGTTGAAACAAAGACTAGAAGTAATTTGATGATTTTGCGTATTTGTTTGCTGCATATCGATACGTAGTGTTTGCTAATTTTTTTTTAAATGTGGGGTAATATATATTAAATGAAACATCTTGAGCTTATATAAGGGTATAATATCGAATAAACAAGGAGCATGTCCTTATATTAAAAAAGATTATTTTTTTTGGTAACATGAACCAAATATATATAAAATCTTGGAATATTTTTCATCTAGAAAGAATGGAACCAACCAACATAAAAATAAAAATGAAGTAATATTTGCATTATTATGCAGATTTTTTAGTCAGGCATTTTACCATAAAAATTGATAGATTACATAAAAAAATTCATGTTTATAATTTTTAGCATATGAATATTACCGGGGTATACCGGGATATATTACAATGCATAACTGTGCATCTGACTGTGTATCGAGAATTTCGGAGAATTCGAAAAAACTTGGATCCGTAAGTACCTCCCTGTTTTTCTTGCAGGTAAACGCCGATTAATTTATAGCACAAATAACTATGTACATATAAGTATGTGCTATATATGTAGTATGTGCTAATAAACGTATACACTACTACAGTATCTACAGTATCTACAGTAAACATTACTACAGTATCTACAGCATCTACAGTAAACATTACTATAGTATTTACAGTTAATTTTAAATAATAAACCTTTCGAATTTGTTAAAGAATTACAAATTGCAGGCAGATATGCATATCTAAAATCTAAATTAAAAAAGCATGCAATTAACAGGCATATATGTTAGAGTCCATGAAACATCAACAATTAATTCACTTATTTGAAAAATTATAGCATACGTATAGTTCACAAGATATCTGATATGTTTAAATATGCACGTATAATCAACTATATATGATATAATAAATTATGAAATACGTGTATATAATAAATTATTGATTGGTGTTACTAGGTATATCTGATATATCGAGTATATTTCTAATATGCAATGACCTAGTTTTTAAAAAAAAATTACACGCACAGTACGTATGCATATATAACTGTTAAAAAAAAAAAAAAAAAAAGTAACGAATTGCTATACAGTATAGAAATTCTAAAGTAAATCAAACCACACTTTTTTGGATTTAAAATTTAAAGTTTCTAGAATTGACTAGTTCTTTTTTTTTCATTGGTGAATTTTATTGGCAACAAATTTTTTATTGATGCTATTTACCATTTTTTCGAACCTGTCAAATACCAAAGATTATTCCATTGGTTGAAAGAATAATGATCATTTTCAACAAAGCAATAATAGTACATAAACTTTCATTTTTATGCTATAACTTATTTAGTCAATATTTTGAATTAATGTAAATTTTACCAATCATCAATTTTTAATAAAATTTAAGTAATGCATACACGTTTCATTAAAAAAATAAAAAAAAACAATGTCTAATTTAGATCGCACTTCTCTTTGGCTTCAGTATGATATGTGATAGATAATTGGTTTTAAGACTTTACAAAAATCGAAAATAATTAAGGATTGGAAGTAATCTTTAATTAACAAAGTTATTTTATTAATTAATACGTAGGAATACTCACTCGTTGTTCCTCTCTAAAAGACATAATGTAGTTTTTTTTAAAAAAAATTCTTCTTCTTAAAACATTATCGAAGACATTATTGAAGGCAATTTTAAGCTTTTGAATTTATTGAGTTAGTTATTTGATTAG